GATACGTCAAAAGATCACAAATTGTAGCTAGTTGAAGACATTACCATCAAAAATTGAAAAAAATTCGCTCGTTCCCCGTAAATAGGGGAAATCTCCAAAAAAATTACAAATTCATAAATCCCTAATTTTCGACATATTCAATTTATTTTATTTTATATTTTATTTAATTTTTAATTTTTTTTAGGTCTCTTTACCTGCTCACAGAGGAGGAATTCAAAATGACAACTTTTTCAACTTAATATGTGAAAGTGTTCCGGAAATACTGACACTTTTATAAATACCTTAAAAGAAAGTTCATGTAACAATACTTTATCATGGAAAAAAAAAATTTTGGAATTAATTTTTTCTTCACGGCGAAAATAGCTACCGAATGATATTTTTGTGTGAAAATGATCGATTTTGTATTTTACATTTTCAACTTTATTATGCTATAACTTTTTGAAAAATCCATGGATCAATACAATTTTTTCATGAGTAGTAGTATTTATATACATCTTTCATTCGACATACTTATTTTTTGAATCGGATCATTTCCCTATAAACGGGGAGGGGGATTAATTAAAAGCTTAATGCATAAAATGCATATAGAAAGTAAAACTTTTTGAACTTAATTTTGGAAATATTCTGGAAATACTAACACTTTTCTATATATATTGAATTAAAGATTATGTAATATACTTTAATATAAAATAAAATTTCGGACTATATTCTGTTTTCATTGTGAAAACGGACATAAAAGTTAATAAAATAATACGACTTTTGTAAAAAATTACAATATTAAATTATTATATATCATTTTCATACTATACTTAATTGTTATAATAAATATTTATCCATATATTACACTTATAAATCATAAAACTTGTAATCAGGATATAAATAAGGAAAAAGGAAAATAAATAATTATAATTCCTTGTAGTTCAAAGTATAAAACTTATAACATTGTTATAAGTAACAAACATTTTTTATTTAAAAGTATTACATCAAGTCCTTCAAATTTCTATATGCGTTAAAAGTAAAGAAATATACAACTACATTATTATTTTTATAATATCTCCATTAAAATTACAATATTAAATTATTGAATATCAATTTTATACTAAATTTAATTAGTATAATTATTATAAATTCATATATTATAATTATAAATCAAATAACTAATCGGAATTAAATTAAGGGAATTAGAGTTATTGTTGATTTTGGATTAAACTATCAATTTTTTAAAATTAAATACTATCTACAGATTTGCAACGAAGCGTTTTTTATGATAGTGATTTTAATCACTGTCAGATATCATTATACTTGACCCAATTATGCCACGTTCTCACTGTGTCGTAACCCCACAGTGCTGGGATTTTTTTTAGGACAAAATACAATAAAAAAAAGGAATTAAGCGAGATGAACTAATTTCACTTGGACATTACCGAATATAATTATAATTGGGAATAAGTGTGATTTCCTAATATATTCCCATACCAATACATTATTTATAATTTAAAATCTGGTAATTTGGTATATTTTTATCTGTTTAATTTTTGGTATGATAAAAATTGGCGAAAGGTAAATGACCTAAAAATCATAAAAATCCATTAAAAATCAAAAAGTATAAAACAATATTTTATGCCATTATTTTTTGTAAAATAATGTATATTTAAACATTTTTCATTCAGTAGTATACTTAACTACAGATACATAAAAAAATGAATTAATAATATTAAAATAATAATAATATTTTGAAATCCAATTCTATGGTTGACTCTAAGGTTTTACTATGCTACATCCCCACTGTGCCGCGATTACACTGGATTTTTTTTATTCTATATCTATCCACATAATGACTTATAAATGGTAATGCTACCATAGAATTAAACGTAGCAAAATATATCATGATACTGCATGTTGTCGTAGAATAACCCAATTGTTTTGCTATTGTAGAAAGGAAACATAAAACAGGCACTGTACCTGTTAAAAAAATTAATTATTAATAAATAAAATACACAAATTATACCATTCCATTTAATAAAAAAGTAAAAGCCACATTAAATCCAAAATTTTCAAATCTAAAATCTCATCGATAAAAATCAGTAATTTTTGAAAAAATTTCAAACTAATTTTGATAGTTATCTAATCTTGAAAGATTGAAACTTTGTTCTTCAATTACTACAAAGAACATTGTTTGTTTCACAAGATTTTTGAAACGACTTTTAAAACTATTAGAAGTTTGTTAATAAGATTTTTTTAATAATGATTTCAAACAGCATCAGTCGTAAAAATAGAAGGTTTAAAATACTTTAAATATAATTATTATTTTAATTTAAATATAATTTTAAATATAAAGAATATTAGATATAAATAGTTGTGTAAAATCCAGTGACATAATTGGCATTATTAGAGAGTGCCGCAACATTTTCAAAAATTTAAAAAGTTATATATTACTATTACATAAATATTTTTGTATATAGGAAAAAAATTATATTATAAATATCTAATGATGGATCAACAGTTAAATATAGCAGCTAGTATAAATTAATGAATACATTAGTTGTGATAGAACAACTGGAAAAAACTTTTACCATTTGTATTAATGATTAATTTTCTAATAAATTTCTTCAGAAAAATTTCTAAGAGTAGATTTACTCGATTATTATTCTGAACTATACAGTTTTCCAGTTAACTTTTATACACACGATTTAATATTGAACTTAGTTTTTTAAGTACAATTTTTAAACAGAAATTTAAGCAATTATGTATACATACTTACTGATAGTAATAAGAAACTCATTTTGATGGTAATCATTTATTTATTTATTTTAATTTGAACCATATTAATATTAATTTTTGGAATTGCTACCTAAAAGCAAATTTTAATCAGTTTATTTTAAATAAGTAAGTTATTAATAATTAATAACTTAATGCAGTTCTTCTTCTTCTTCCTTGCCTTAATCCTAACTACTCGAGGTCGGCCACCCTTATCCTAAACTTCCTCTTGACACGATCTCCCACATCATCTACGCTCACATCAGCTGTCCTCTAATCGCATTCAATAGTATCCCTCCATCTCTTTTTTTGTCTTCCTCTACCACTTCTTCAACATTCATTTCTATAACTGTTCTTACAGCTTCCAATTCTTCCTCTTCATAACATGACTAAACCATCTAAGTCTATTTTCTCTCATCTTATCAACGATTGACGCAACACCTATACTTCCTCTTATATGTTCGTTCCTTATTCTATCTTTTCTAGTTACTACACTCATTCATCTAAGCATTCTCATCTCTGCTACACTCATTCTCTGCTCTATTTTCTTATCAACTGCCCAACACTCTGAACCATACATCATAGCTGGCCTCACTACAGTCTTGTAGAATTTAACTTTCAGCCTCATTAGAATTCTTTTATCGCATAAGACGCCAGACGCTTTTCTCCACTTCAACCACCCGCACTTAATCCTGTGTCTTACCAATAACTTAATGCAGTTATTCTATGTAATATAAAAAAAAACTTATAATAAAATAATTACAGCCATTGGTTAATTTTTTTACTTATCATATAGGGAATGTTGTTAATAAGTTTACACGATTATGAGTTTTTGCATAAAACACAAATGGGCTTATTTGCATGTATGCAATTGTTAGACATAAGAATAAAAGAGTACAATATTAATGTCTAAATTAAATCATATATATTTTACTTCACTGAGATAGATGGAACGTATTGTCATTTTATCTAGTAAATGTTATTTACTTAAATAGTTAAGAGAGCTTTTCTATTATTTGAAAAATAGTTTAGCTAGCTTGTTGAGCAATAAATAATGTTTTATTGTTTAATTTTCAATTTTTCACAAATAATTTTATGTAATTATAATATTACATTTGTTAATATCTAAATTTTATTTCTTGAATAAAAATTGTTACAAAAGTAATAAAGTATTAGAAAAACTAAACAAGATATCATATTAGGTACTTTTTAAGAAAAAATTCATTTTAATAAAAAAAATTGTGTCAAGTAGTTGAAGAAATCTAAATTGAAAAAAGAAACTTTTTCATATAAAATAAATTAAATTTTTCTATAAAATTTCATCTTAACTCTGAACCAATCTCCCGAATATATGTAAAATTTTATCAAACAACAGTATAATTTAGATATTTTGCTTTGCTTTTTCAACCAAAATTAATCTTGAAGACATAATTAGTTTTAACATGAAAGTATCAACAGTTACTTTAAACAAATTAATCTTATTAAACGTTACACATTTTACAATACACTAGTATGGTGTAACATTCGTGGGTTCCTAATAATAATAATAGTTTTCTTGGCATATTAATTACTTTGCAATAATCATAACAACGTTAACTTAGCCAAACAACTTAAATGTCTCACATAGTTAATTATCAACTATCAACAACTTGTCAACTGAACTGTCTGTTTGAAGTAATAAAGCATAGCTCTTTTAACTATATTGTTTAAGAAACTGCTTTAATTTGTACCGAATTAAAAAAAACTAATTTTGATTATTATTAACCTTTTCAAAAAAATTTTATTATTTGCTTGAGAGAACAAAAAAGTTTTTTAAATTACATATACGTTCATTGAGATTTAAGAATACCTAATTTTTTTTATTAAGTTTTTCTTTTACGCGTTTCAGTTATAAGATTTAATTATTTTTATTTTACAGCTAATAAATAAGATATTTCAACTAAGAGATAAATCTACATAAATTATCCTATCATACTATTATATATTATGTTGTCATTATTTAGATTATATTTTTAACTATTTTACTTGTATTTGTATTTAACTACAAAAAATAAATTAAGACACATCAAACTTGTATTCATATTTGTATTATTATTGTATTAAATTAATAAAATAGATTTTGTGCTTGGAAGAACACATTGAATATAATGTGTTTTAAGATAACATTTAAAAAATGTAATATACATTGAAAACTGAGACCAAATTAACAGAAATTTAAAAAACGTTTTTTTTTTTTGTTGTAGTTAATTTGTCAACAAAATGTATTCATTAATAACACCAAATTTGAAACATTAGAGACGTATAAAAACTGTTTGGGAGAATTGCAAAGTACAAGTTTTAATAGCCAATTGAAAAACTACTACACCTATAGTATTTTAACTAATATTATCTTCACTGAGCACGTAATTTAAACAAAACATATTAATATGAAAACTATGTATTTATATATATATTCTGCTGTGGTGGAATTATTTATTCTATATCATTACAAATGATTATTTCAGGTGGAAAAGACTTATTTTTTTCGAGTATCTTCAGTTAAAGTAAATGAATACTTATGTATACTAAAGTAAATGAGTACTTAATTTAAAATGCCAAAACCGAATATCAACAAAGTGCCAATTAAAATGCTCTAGTCTACTTTTGGTTTCATTGGCCTCTAGCCCAAAAATTGAAGAGAGTATTTTTACATTATATAATGTTTGACTATTTTTTATCAATATAGCGTTTATGATATTTTTTTATAACATCTTATCAATTTTACAAAATGGTTTATATGTTCTACAATTGGGTAATAGATTTTAATTAAAATGTAATAGTACTCACTTACGTTGCATTGATTAACTTAACTTTCCAAAGGTGATCGTCACGAAGACTATGGAAAAAACAAATGTTGGACCGCTATTGGGTGGGAAATGTCGTCAATTTTCAGTGGATAGCTAATAGACACTTGTAGTTCTGATCCTAGAAATAAAAACTACTACTATTTACTACATGAGTCTTTGCTTTCAATTGTTCATTTGACCGTAGCTTACAAATTGAGAGTAATGCATGAAAATTAATTTTTATCAAAATATAATTGGGTCAGATATCAAGTTTTGTTATTTAAATTTCAGTATATTGAAACGGACGTATCCAAACAAAATAGTATTAAAAGAAAAAATCCTCCCGTATATAGACTTTTGAAAAAGAATCACGTTTTAATTTATTTAATATGGATTTTATTTACAGCGTTTTTCCATTCAATAATTAGTCAATATCTATTTTGGTAAATTTTAGTATTTTTGTTTTTTTACTTTAATTTGTAAAATAATTAATAATGAATCGTTACTAATTAATTAGCTTACTAACTAATAATTACATCACCAAAAATTTCATCTTAAAAATTTTGAATTCTATTATTATAATTACCATCTTATTGAAAAATATTTTTATTTTTTTCACAGGCTATTCTTTCGAATATCTTACAAGTGGCTATTTTTATGAAATTGTGGGTACTACATTGATGTTAAAATATTGTTCTTATTCAATAATGATACTGTTTGTATTAAAATTACTTGGCGATATGTTAGGCATTTCAAAATGAGTTGTGCTTAATTTTTTTTTTTCTAATGAATTCAAAAATTATTAAATATTATTATTGTGTTAATATTATTAATAATGTCATTATAAAATATACATAAAGTCTACTATTTTGTTTTCACTTAATTCTATTATTTTTATTTAAAGTGGTTTTGATGAAAAGTTGATAAGTGCAGTGTAAGAGAAAAAGTTCAAAAACGAAATCGTACAACAATGAAAACTAAATTTAAATTACTTTTACATTTTTTTTTGTAAGTAATTTCATAGAAATCATAATTACATTTGTTATTAAGTCATAAGTATTATTTTCATACTTTAATTGAAAATTTGCCATAAAAATAATACTTTATAGTATATAATAATAGAAATTATTATTATGTATAATAATAGAAATTTTGAAACTGAGGAAAAAATATGTCTGCAGACTGAGAATCAAACTCAGGTATCCAAGAGAGCTTTCCCACTAAGCTATCCGGCGGATTGCTTAGTGGCCGACACTGCTATTTACCAAAGAAAAACATAGTCTTGGCCAAAAAGGGTGCCTAACTCTAATTAAATATATATAATTAATTTTTTTAACATCGTAATGTTTAAGACGTCTAAGAGAGAATAAATGTGTCATTTGATGTGTCTTATGAAATATTTAAATTGACCAGTAAATTTAATTAGAAAAAGGAATCCTTTACCTTTTCTACAAATAAAATGTTGTTGTTTTGGAAATTTAACACTTGTATACCACATCAGTGAAAGTTTATACACTATATTTTTTGCTTGAAGTGCGGAAGACTAAAAGGGATCAGCAAAATTAGCCAATGAGAGTAAACGCACATAATGATTGTCACCCAAAAACTAAATCAAAAACTTTTTTATATATACAACATGATAGGTAGCATATTTATATATATATACAATATAATTTAATCAGTTTGATTTCGACTCATTAATAATTGGTTTGCTAATTTTGATGACGGTGAGCATGTTTTGTATTGCAATTTTAATGCAATGATGAGAAATGCTGAATTAATTATTTTACTTTTAGATTAATTCAAAGAGGATAAGTATCGACTTTGATAATTGAGACATTTATAAAAACAAAGGCCCAATCTAACAATTCTAACAAAAAATAGTTAATTTGTAAGTATTAAGTTAGATAAATCTTATTTTAAATTTTCACAAAGATTTTTAATTGGTGAAAATAATAAAACTTTTTATTAATTAAAATTTTTTGCCTCTTGAAAAAGTTAAAAATTTGTTTTGGGTCTTTGTTCTTATAAATGTCTCAATTACACGAGCTATATAATAGAGACGGGCTGACCACAGGGACAAGAGGGTAATTGTTCTCGTTAACTATAGACCGATGAGGGTCGCTATGAATAGTAGGCTGGCTACATCTAACAAAAAGCTACATATAACAATTATATACTAAATTTTCATATTAACAAAAAATAAATAGATGGATTTTTAATTATATTTAAATAGTAGAAAATTATAATATAAATTATATAAATTTTTGCAGTCATATTTGTTCATCAAATTTTTTTAGCGATACAAACATTTTTTGGAGTGAATAGGACCACCACTAGTTTTGAGGCTCTGGGCCAATCCATTTGTGCTAAATGACAACGGAAACTGAGTTTAAACTTTAATCTTTAAATTGCGTTTTAAACAGTCTACAAGCCTTAAAATGATAAAAAATGTAATGTAGTGGCGTATTTTTGAGGAGTCCCTTGTTAACCCCCTCCTTCCTCATAATAACGAGCAATATAAAGAAAATAAATGCTGTATAGCCTAAAAACAAACCGTTTTTAACGTAAACGGTTGGGTTATAAATTGGTTTATTTTGTTTTATTGAAAAGTTTTTACTTTTACCCACATAGCGTCCATTATAAATTTCAAAGTTAAGAAAAATAATATTTAGAAATGTAGAATAATAATTATCGTATTACTATATAAATTACTGTTGTGGTTTTTCCGAATTCTTATTAATATAACCACTAGGTAGCGACAGTGCTACCTAGTGGTTGATATAAAATACTAGCATATTCATTGATATGCTTAGTATATATGTAAGATAAAGTAGTAATTTGAAATTTGGTATTATTTTTATTTTTGAACTAAAAATTTAGTCTCTACTTTATAAAATTAAATTTAACTTATGAATCTTGAAAAAGCTAGTTTGGTTAATTAGGTAATAATTCTTATTTCAACAGGGATAGATTCAGAATTTTTTCGAGATGGATGTAAACAATTTCTAGATTTAAAACCAATTTTATCATTCATAAGATCTTATTTTCTCTCTTTTTTAGTTTGTAACGTTAGTTTTAAAAGGGGGACACGCTCCTTATGCCCTCCCCTGGATCTTTCATTGTACATCAGAGGTTTTGAGTAAGGGAAATATTATTTTAAGTTGTTATATAGTAAAAAACTGCTTGCTTATTGTGCCATAATCTTACTCCGGAACTATATCTATACACCGAGTAATTACCTAATTAAAAATGTATTAAATTAAGTTGGAAAGAAAAATTGTGCAGTTTAATGTTTTCCAAAACAAATTTATTTCACACGACGAAATAATAACTTTTTGTGATATGTACGTCTCATCAACAGCAACAATTTTGATTCATAATATAGGTAAATATAAATTATTATGTTTAGGTGTATTATGTAATCTTTTAAAAGTTTGAATTAAAAATTTGAATTTTAATGGTTTAAATCTGGTAAATTAAAACCTAATAAGTCCTGAGGCGGTACCTTAAAATTTGGCTTCCGTTTGGAAAATATCGCTATTATAAAAAAGTAATGAGTAGAAAAAAAAACTGTATGTCACTAATCATAAAAGGCTAGCATATTTGTAATGGATCCTTTAAGCTCACGGGGTCTGGGTTATTCAGTGCCCCTTAATCCTGGTTTGGTTCTAATATAGGAATAATTTAAATAAATCCGTAAAAAGTAACACTAGTAATTGTTTGAGTATCTTATCAGATATCTTATCTATTACTAGTCAGACAACAGAAATATGTAAATTTAAAACGTATCTTGCGCCATTTACGGAGGTAAAATATTCTGTTATCAACTAGGGGCTTGTTGTCACCTGCCTCCACCAGATACAACAATACCGCAAGCTAAAAGAACGTTTCTACGTTTTGTTTTCGTGTTATGGTACCAAAATCATTTATTAGACGGTTGCATATTTTTGCTAACTTTATGATAAGAGATGGCAATGAATTTTTGCTATTGTTTACATCATAATGTAAGTGTGTATTCTTTGAATTGGGTTTTCTTATCTAAATAATGAGTGTTATTGTTTTTGGGTTTTATTATCTAAAATTGTAGATTATCAATTCGAGCGTAGGTGTAGAGAGCATTTTATATTTCCTAGATCCAGAGTGTTTCGCCATGAATTTCCAAGGTTATGGGTAAGTAGGATTAAATAAAGTTGAACGAAAAAAATTGTTTTATAATTTATATATTTTTTCTAATTCTTCTTAGAACAATTTTCTAATCAAACTGAAAAAATGGTTGCTAGTCTGCAGTCAAGACGCAAGGCTCTTGAAGCCAAAATTCTTGAAAAAAATCGTGAGTTAAAACGTTTATGCATTCAAGAGGCTGAATTAACTGGCAGTCTACCACCAGAAATACCTTTGGATCCAGGGGAAACACCTCCTACATTTAGAAGACGTATTGGTACTTCTTTTACATACCCGGAAAATTTGATTAACAAATTAAAATTCAAAGATGTAAGTTGTTATTCACAAGTATTTTTTCAAACACAAGTAGTTTTCATTTTAAATTATATTTAGGACGAGACAATAGCATCACTTGAACTAGAATTTAAAATCCAAAAGGGTATTGCAGAAGCTGCTTTAGGATTAGCTAATGATGAGACTGCTAATAAATCTGTTAGACGAAAACACAGAATGATGTATCAACAAAGCCAACAACGTTTAACAGAACTTGAAGCTAGAATAAACATGTGTCAGAATCAAAAAGTTAAAAAGAAACCTCGACCAGAAAGCAGTTATACACCAGGTATTTTTTATTTTCCATATATTTGGTGTATTGTCATAGGAATACATTTTTTGATACCCAAAATCAAATTTAACTCATCTTAATTAATGGTAGTATTTATCATAACCAGAAGTGCCTGGTGGGAGAGTCAGGGAGTAATATTGTACCCCCTTAGAATTTTTTATGTAACTCAAGAAAAAACTAATGCGTATCATACAATTCTAACCATCAAATTCATTAATAGACGTTTGAGTTTTTTTCAATATAAAATAGTTTCTGTAACATCTGTTATTAACAGTATTTTTAAAATTATTTATGAGGAGGTATATTAACTTTATATAGTCCATGTATAAGGTAAGTAAAATGTATTGACTGTTAATAGACTTATTTCAAATGAATCATGATATTCAATATTCTATTTAAAAATTTTGTATGGGAGATCCAGATAGCTATTAAAACATAAATCAGAGGGTAAATTCATCACTTTACTATTCCTGCTATTATGAATTTATGTTCAGGGGGGTTTTGATTCTCAAAATTCTCCCGTGGATATGGCACTAATGATAATTATACATGTTCTAATGTTTTAGTCGTAGAGTGTATGTAATAGATATATCATCTAATATTATACTAAAATAAAGGGGGTGTAATGTAGCAAGTACTTATTAAAATTTTTTTTATTATTTTTGAACTACTATTTTTTATTTAAAATCCTTTTAAAAATATCAACATAAGATAAATAATAAGGTTGGAACATAAATTTTAAATATTTTTTTTTTAACCGTAAAAAGAAATATTCACTGAATGTAAACTAAATTACTATAAATTCTGATTATTAATAGAAATATTTATTTTGGCGTGCTGAATTATTTAAATAATTTTATAAACTTTTTTGATATTTATATGTAGAGTTCTCACAATTGTTAATTAATATTTATATTTTATAAAACCAAAATTGCAGGTACTTTAACAAGTACAATTTTTTAGTAGAAAATCTATGAACCTTTTAATTATAACAAATAAAATATTATTGTGTTAAACAATAAATATTTTAAAACCCTTATATCTTTTTCTAAATTATAATTTTTTAAGATTTTAAAGCTTTGTGTCACACTTGTTCAGATGAAATGACAATTTTTAGGTGCTTCTAATGTCATAATAACATTTTTAAGGGTTATTCTTATTAAAAATTAAAAAAAGATCTGTATAAGTATAAGCATTGGGCAGCCTACATGCAAATATTTTCATGTGTAATATTTTTACAGATTTATCTATTTTGTAGGATAAATATCAGATTCTTATTATTTGAACTAATTTTTTTTTAATTTCATAACTATGTATAATTAAGATGAAGTTGGGTTTAAAATAGTATAGTTTTAGATATAAATATATTTATAACACATTTTAATGTGTAATTATTGCATGATTTAAATTGTTATCAAAACATTATAGGATTATTTTTTATTATGTAAATTTGTATTTTTTATGAAAAGTTACAATGTTGAAATATTAAATAGCTGTTAATTATATTTTGAGACTGGTAGATTTGAATTTGTAATTAATTTTATAAATCTTAATAAATTAAATTTTTATTTATTGTATTCTATATTTTTATGCTGTCATTTTCCTAAATTTAATAAATAGATATGATTTTTTAATGCATGCATTAAAAATAATTGTAACTTGATTTTTTTAATAATTGTTCAGGTTTATGTGTGGCAATTAAGGACATCTAACTTATTTTTATTCAACATAAAATATATAACAGTAATCATCATTTTCATTTATAACATTTAAATTAAACATAATTTTTATTTGCTTTTAATAATTAACATTCAAACTTTGTTAAATTTATTTATGTTATAGTTAATATATTTTTTTTTTTTTGTATTTGTATAATGAAGTGTTATGTTGTGTATTTTTTAACTTAGATTTTGCAAACAGTTTAAGTTTACCTGATGGTAATTTTGTTGTACCTAAAGAACCAAATATTCAATCATTAAATTCAAAAATGTTATCCCATAAGCCTAATTTAAGGCAGTTACACAGTTACAATAAATTTTCAAGTCAGAGAAATTCACATGATCCCAGGTAAATTTATTGAGTCTTAGTAAAATCTGTATTTCACAATTCTTGAATCATCTTTTACTGTAGTACCAATATAAATACTTTTAATTTCAATATAATACTTTTTTCATTAAATTTATTAGTTTTCGAATATTATAGTTATGTAAATTTTGTTTTATTCAATTTATTCACAAATATATTTTTATTAATTTTTTTTGCTAAGGAAACCACTAAAAACACCATAATGAGAAAAAGTAATATTTTGTAAGTAATTTTTAAAACATTCCATAAAATGTTTATAAATTCTTTAGAGATGATTGTGCTTTTAGAATTCTTTTTTATGTAATTATTTGCAAGATTGTATTTGTTGCTTGAAAATAATTGATGGTTGTTAATAATTAATTAATTTTTTTTTATCTATCTTTTTGTTTTGAAAAATATAATTAATTATATATTTTGTTTAAGTGGATTTATAATTATTTTTAGTAATGGTAATGTGTTACACAATGCATGGAATTCATATGAGCCAATCTCAAACATTAATATTCAACCAAAATTACTACCTAGAGCTGTAGTAAATACAGATAAAGATCATGGTAATTAAAATCAATGATTTTTTAAACACCAATTGCCAAAATTAGTCATTCAAAATTTTTTATATTTACAGCTAATTTTTCTAAAGAAAATAGTGGATTTTATAATACAATAAATTCTACCCACATGATTTCGGCTCATGAAATGCCTTGTAAAATGCCAGAACAGGACTTCACTGCCAAATTTAAAAATCGGTGGGTGAGATATATAAAGCATTAGTAAGACATATATCATATTAGCCTCAATCCATGAATATTAATTTTTTTGTATTGCCCGCCAATAAGATTTCAATTAATTAAATAGTTGAATAACATGATTGCCAAAAGTCTAAATAATCTTGAAAAATAAGAAATTTTTATGATATAACTTAAAATTAAATTATATCAAAAATAATGGACAAATATTTATGTTTACAAACAATGATTACAACCCAGGATTTTCCATTAAAAGAGAGCTAAGATTCTTTGAAGACTTTACTTATCACTTTCACAGTTTAGCTCCTAATATTTATAAAAATAATTTTATTAATATAATGTGTACATACATAATAATCATAGTCATAATATTAGTTACTATGTTCATACTAAACAATACATATATTGAACCATTTTAATAAGGCGATATGTTCTAAGAGATTAGTTTAAAAGCGAAATAAATTTTTTTTCGACCTTAATTTTTTGTAGTTATTGACTTTCAAAATCCAAATATAGCAAAGACTAATAGAAAGGTCTTAGCCATTTTATCTCCTTGGATATCCCACTATACATAACTATATCTATAATTTGCCTCTGAGCAAGAAGGGAGTAAATTGAAAGGTGTTTTGGAGAGTTCAACCCTATTTTCAGAATTCTAATGAATAAACAAGAAAAAATAAAAATAATATAAGAAATGATATAGCCATACACCCATCCAAACATAAATAATATATTCTTCATTAGCCAAGTATGAAATTTTTTTTAATTGACAGGAAAATTATGGTTAATAGATTGTGGTTTAATAATGGAAAGGGTTATTTTATTTCTACAGGGTGATTCCTTAATGATAAGACTATCATTTTCTTGGAAACTATTGAAAATTTTATATTTTTGTTTGATTATAAAAACTACAATAATATGTAGTTAAATAATTTTTTTTCATACCTTCAAGGATAAAAACCCTAAACAATTATTTTCGTAGATGAGTACCCCTATTTTTACCTTGATATTATTTATTTATAAATTTAACGGGCTTGGCCCTTTTTACAATATCAAGTTATTTAACAATTTAATAAATTTATATCAGTATAATATAATTCACAACGATTCAAAAGAATATTTGAAATAATATATAAAAAAAAATGTACACACAATTTTGTTCTTTTAACCAATGAAAAAATTGTTCATCTGTCTCAGTGTGTTAAAGTTAAGTGTTTTTAATCCAAATTTCTATTATTATTCTACTGTTTTGTATACTGAAGTCATTGTGTGGACAAATTTTTGATAAATACTATAAAAATAATTTATGGCCCATTCAAAAAGATTATTGTTATCTTTGGTGTTATAAAAATAAAATTAGTGATAAATCAAAAAAAATATTTTAATCCAAATCTTTAAACAATTTAAAAAAAAAAATTAATTCAAACAAAATTGTTTGTAAATTTTTTTTGTGTCATATTATTAAGATAGAAATAAGAGTTCTCATATAAATAAAATAATTTTAATGGTTTTTATCCCTGAAGAGATGAAAAAAAAAATCATTTCATTATATGTTATTGTAAAGTTTTTTGAATCAAACAATATTTTCTTTAGGAAAAATTAACATTTTTCAATAGTTTGAGAAAAAATGATTGTCTTATCCTTAATGAATCATGCGTTATTGTAATTTTAAATTATGAATGTAACATAATTATTATTATTTTGCTTACAGATTTGGTAGCTTAGACAGAAGACATGGACGAAATTCTAGTTCCCGAAGTAGTAGTAGTGTTGATCAGGTTGATAGTAATATATTATCAATGCCGCGAAGTTCTACAATTCAACATTTTACCAATACAATTCTGTTACCTAATCAAACATACCCAGAAAATAGTTTATTAAGAACACATTCTTTAGGAAATATAAAAAATGAAAATCAACTTCAAACAGAAAAAGTGACTACAGAAATTCCTCCAGATAACAGAAAAGTATCCGAAAAGACATGGGTTGAAACTTCACTTGATAGTAGCAGCGTAGACTCTTTACGACTACCTCCAAAACATGAGTTGCCTCCTCCACCTAGAAAAATGGCTACACCACCAGTCATAGTACAGCCAAATCCAGAGGTTAAACCTCCTTCACCTTACGAACATTCAATTAATCAGTTTGATATGGTAAATTATTTATAAAATTTTATAAAGTTCTTATTGTATCATAAAATTAGATCTTTAATAATTTATTATATTGAGTATTATTAATTGTTCAGGTACCATTTGAATCTCCAAAAAACCATACTGTTGTTCAAGTAGGAAAATGGCAACCATATCGCGAAGTGACAAAACCTTTTGAGATGTCTGATTTCTATAAATATAGTACAAGATATAGAAAAACATCGGGAAATTCTAATAGCACATCATCAGAAAAATCTCATACTACTGTTAATGCTGAACCTATTATGGCACCTCCTCCTCCACCACCACCATTACAGAATAAAGGAATATATCAACCTTTGAAACCTTTAAATTGTCACCCAATAGCATCGCAGTAAGTCTTAATAACATAGTATGACAATTTAATCCATAACTTTTAGTATTTTCTTAAAAAATTATATTTATTTTTAAAAATAAAAAAATTGTCTTGTATTTTATAACTAACTAAAATATTCAATTAAATGCAATTCTGAACTATTAGAACACGTATTGTTGATATAAATCAACACGTATTGTAGAATTTATAATAACCATTTTAGCTTCGATGCGAAGCTGAGAAGGTATTGGTTTTACTAAGATGTGTTTTTTTTTTTTTTTGTCTGTTACCACTTTTTCTCAGCTCTCACCGAACGGATTTCTTTCAATGATACGTCAAAAGATCACAAATCGTATCTAGTCGAAGACATTACCCTCAAAAATTGAAAAAAATGCCCTCGTTCCCCGTAAATGGGGGAAACCTCCAAAAAAATTACAAATTTAAAAATCGCTAATTTTCGAAATTTTTTCAATTTTTTTTACTAAAAAGTGCCATAACTTTTTCAAAAATAAACATATCAATATAATTCTTTTTTATATAGATGCATAATATCATTACCTTTCGTTTGGTATATTTTTTTCATAAATTTAATCCTTAACCTGCCCACAAGGGGGGATTTAAAATGACAACTTTTTCAAAAAAAATTAACTTTTTCAACTTAACTTTTGAAAATGTTCCGGAAGGTCTGACACTTTTATATATATCTTAAATTAAAGCTAATGTAATATACTTTATTATGGAAAAAAAAAATTTCGGACTTTATTTTATCTTCATGGTGAAAACAGACATTAAACTTAATAAAAAAAATACGATTTTTGTAAAAAAATTCTTTTTTATATTTTTAACTTTATAATGCTATAACTTCTCGAAAGATGTATGGATCAATATAATTCTTTTTTTTGTAGATGCATGATGTCTTTACCTATCATTTGGTATATTTTTTTTATAAATCTGACTTTTTACCTGCCTACAGGGGGGGATTCAAAATGACAACTTTTTCACAAAAAATTGACTTTTTCAACTTAAATTTTGAAAGTGTTCCGGAAAGTCTGACACTTTTATATATATCTTAAATTAAAGCTAATGTAATATACTTTATCATGGAAAAAAAAAATTTCGGACTTTATTTTATCTTCAAGGTGAAAATGGCTACCAAATGCTATTATTGTGTGAAAATTCTCAATTTTATTTTTTACATTTTTAACATTATAATGCTATAACTTATTGAAAAGTGTATTGATCAATATAATTTTTTTATGGGAAATACTATTTTCTAATAATCTCTTTTTTATTCTACATACTTTGTCTTAATCAGGATATTAATAAGGAACTAGCAGTTTATGAAGCTTTTGGAATAATCCACCAATTTTTTAAAATTAAACACTATCTAAAGATTTGCATCGAAGCGTTTTTTTTTGATAGTGATTTTAATCACTGTCAGATATCATTATACTTGATCCATCTATACCACGTCACCACTGTGCCGCGACCCCCCTGTGCTGGGTTTTTTTTTAGTAAATTACTGTGACCCTTTTTTTTTGTGATACATTCAAAATAACTTGAGGGAATATACTGTAAAGCATTAATTCCCCTGTATTGTATTATTATATTGTATTGTATATTTAAATAATAATAAAAACAACAAACAATAACACTTACAATACAAATAGTAAAAATACAAAATAATAAGGGGTATTAATAATAATTACAAAATTCCTTTAAAAGGTATTACTACAAACTCATCAATCCATATTGCTCCCTTTACTGCAAGCTTGGTTCAAATTACCCAGCAGGACTTTTAAAAATTGGCAATGAACAGAAAGCTTACAGACAACATAAACTCTTCCGGGCTTGATCTAAGATCCCGCTATTCTACCCATTGGTATTTATTGTGTTTTCTGCTGAGCTTGGCTTCCTCTTTCTTCAACATCACTCTGTTGCTGAATTGCCTTACAAGCTCCAGCTCTTGCAAATAGTCAACATTTTTCTCATCAGTGTAGATACTTCTAGCTGACCTTATACTTTTGTGATTTGCAATTATTCCACACTGGAGATTCCAATAGTGTGTGTGTAGCTTATCCATCTATACACTGCAATGTTTATATCCTTAATCTGGTGTTTTGTTAAGCTTATGTAAATATCAAAGCATCTGTATTCTTTAATAATCTAAGTTAAATCCATTTCACTATGAGACCTCTACACCCTTTCTTCTTGTAACATGTTGATGAAAACTTATGATAGTTTTAAAAATGTTATTTAAAAAAAAACTATTAATAAAAAAAACATATAAAAGTCTTAAAAAACCAAAATTCTTATATTTCAAATATTTATTAAAAAGCAAAAGGGATCTAAATATTTGATATAAAATTTTAAATTTTAATTTATTGTTTCGTGGAACAAATTTATGTTTAAGTAGCATATTTTTATTTAAATGCAAACAAAATATGCGAATGTTTGAAGTTTTTTATCCTATTCATTAGCGAGTATAAAACTGTAATCCCCTTGAAAGTGTGTTACACTCTTACTTAGTTTCTATTTCTCTAACTTTCTTTAAATCTATACTTAACTAATTAAGAAAGCTAATTTACTAAATACTATACTAAGTCTGTCTGTAATTTAAATAATTAATAAAGTATTAATAAAAATATTTTCAGAAATATGTCATTAATGGAAGAGACAGTGTGTCCTCTTGATAATTTTGAACCCAATAATGGAGTGTTAGATGAGAGTGTTTTTGCAAATGAAATGTTATCTTGGTACCAAGACGAAGCTACACCTCAAACTAGAACAGCTACTTTAGTTTAAGTATCAAAAGGTACTAATGATATTTAAAATTTAAGTTTTTTTACTTAAAGTATGCTGTTGTATAATCCACATTATAATGAAATATCAGTATAGTACTAGTCAATTCATAGATGATATTTTCAATTCATAGCTTATTTTAATTCAATTGCAATTTATCACAGTATTATTAATATATTTATTTTTTTATTTTGAATATTATATATGACTACAAGAATTGAAATAATTTTGATATTCCATGTTTATTTTGCATAGAAAAATTTATGCTGACAATTTGTAAAATTACTGACCAAAGACAAATAGGTTTATAAAAATATAAACATTGTAAGCCATATTTATACAGTTAATTTCTATATTTAGAAGCTTATAACAAAAAATCTAATTATAATAATTAAGTATTACTTAGTTTATTGTATATTGCTACATTTATTTTATTTTATTGTAGAATATGTTTTCTAATAGTGTGTTTTTCATTGAAATTTTACTTCAATTTTTTTCATGTACCTACTAAATGTCAATATTTTTTTATACCATAATTTTTTATTGAAATGTATTATATGAAAAACCATCAGTGAAACAAATTAGATAATTGTAGTTGTCTATTAATTGATTTATTAATTTTTTTACATTTTATATATGGGCTAGAGTTGATAAGCTGTAATTTATAAATAATTCTATTCTTAGACTATTTCCATAATTAAAGTTTTTTTTTAAATATTGCAATTTTCATTAATATATTCATAAAAACATATGTATTTTTATTTTTATTCAGTATAAATGTATACTTTAATGTAAATGGTAAATGAATTTGTATGCCAATCATTTAAATATTCAAGTTGAATTTGTAATAAGAAACAACCATCTTGTATGAATAGTTAAAATGAAGTGGGCAAATAATTTGCATTAAATAAGACTGATATTGTTGTGCAATTTCAAAGTGTACATTTTTACTCAAATATGATTAACTAAATCATGATTATAATATTAGTGTAATTTTTTTATAGCATGCTTTAAATATTAGTTTAACATAAAATATTTTAATTGTGTTGAGAAAATTAATTTTTAATTTAAATTAGTGTTTTCAATTTATAGACTTATATTATTGACTACTTTGCTATATAAAAAAAATTTTCACTACACCACAGCCTAGAAAATTTTATTTGTATTCAATTTCAAATATCATTTAAAATATCTTATTTAATAGTTATTTTATTTTGATTTAACTTAAGTATTTTATTGTGAATATTGTTTTTTTGTGCAATATAAATACTCGACCATTTATAGTAATATGATTATAAATTAAAAATTTAATTGAAAAATAAATAAATTTATTTTGTCTTTAATTACATTATATTTTCCTTTATTTTTTATTTAATTAAATACTTTAAAGCCATAATATGACTGGTTAATTATTTAATTAAGTTAATTGATGATAATTAAATTTAAAAATCTAATACATAATTTACATTACTGTATGAGCACCTTAGTGTAAACCACTGAGTGCTTTGCTAAGTGCTGACTAGTCACATTATTTTTATTTTTATCAGATTATTGAACAAATAATTTTTAACGAAATGTATATATTTCTTTATTGAGTATAAGTACATAATTTTTTTTTTTTAAAGTTGCAATTTATAATAGGTTATTATTTTAATTATAATTACCTTTTAAATGTAAAACCTTTTTTTAAGTACTTCTTTTACAAGTCAGTTTTATTAAATTTTATTTACACATTAATTATATTAAAATACAAATAAACTTTGTATACATTTAAAATAAATTTTAATTATAAATTAATTGTTTTTTATGAATTAGTTTTGATAAAAAATTACAAACATAATTACATAGTGATCAAAATTTGGTAAAATAATTATTTTCTTAAAAACTATTGAAAATTTTTAATTTTTGTAAATTACTTGTTACAAAAACTACAATGTGTGATCAAACACATTTTCGCCCCTTCAGTGGTAAAAAAACCTTAAATTTAATCTTCTAAGATGGGAATCCTTATTTTTAATTTAATAATATAATAGAAAAAATAACAAACAATTTTGTACTTACATTTTTATTATCTGATCAATCGTTCATCTGTTACAAAATTTCAAATTTAAGCGATTTTAGTCTGAAATTCTGTTGTAATTTTACTGTTTTAAATACAGCAGTCCTTATTTTTCTCCGCTGTCATATAAATCAATTTTTATTGACTAAAATATGATCAATAAGATTGCAGAATAAAATATTAAGATTAGAAAAGTTTTCTTGATTATCATAATATATTATGGACTATCGTAACAAATTACTGCTGCCAGTATTCTAAAGCCAATTAAATGATAATTTGTACTAGAAATCAAAATCTTTAAACAATATTAAAACGCAAACGATTGATCAAATAAAAAAAATGACACAATCAAAATTATTTTAAATTTTTTCTGTCATATTAAGTTAAAAAAGAAATTTTAATTAAGAAAATAAAATTTAATAGTCTGAATCATGAACAAAAATTAAATTATATATTATTGTAGAATTTTTTAAACCTAATATTTTATCTCTTTACAAAATTTTTAACGATTTAGTAAATGAGTGTCTTACCAAATTTTGATCACTCTGTATATATGTAATTTATTAAGTATACTATCCCCCATTTTTACGTCGAAACATGATTTTTTCTTAAAAATTTATTGATTAAAATGTAATTAATTTCTATAAATCATTGTAGATATAAGTTTATTATAAGAAAGAATTGTTTCAGAGGTTAATTTTAGAGATAACTTAAGAAGGTTAAATGAAAACCTATTTCGAAAGTTCCTCAAATAGTCTATCCTTGGGAATAACTTTTTTATAAATAGGGAAGTATTGTATTATTAATTTTTGAGTCCTTATAATTTTTAGTTATTAGTGAAAGGTATTCGCAAGGTAGTTATAAGTGTTATCTGTGCGTTATGGTAAAAATAGAGCGTCGCTAAATATTAACTTGCTCTCCTCACCCTTTCTTAATCTTAAAAAATCTTAATCTATCATCAATCTACATTTTATTTAGATTGTTCTGCATTAAATAATAAAATAAGTTCGAATTTAACTTTCGAAAGTTAGTTTTTGTTATCCTTCTAAAAAAATAATTTTGATAAAAAACTTTTGAACTAGTAGTTCAGAAGTTATGAATATTTTTATAACTAGTAGGGTGGAGTAGCGTGGCAAGACAATGTATAATAACAAAAATAACTTAACCTACACCTCTATCTAAATAGCTTAGCCTCTAGTCTACATTTAGAATAAATAATACTAAATCAATAACCCCATATATATAAATACTAATATTTTTTGTACATTTGTTGTTTAAGTGAATATAAAAAGATATAATCATTACTAAACTGAATTTTTTTAAATAAAAGAGTATTAGACTACTGTTTGAATTAAATATAATCTTATTTTTGTGCTGCTTATTCATCATATTTTAAGGTTATAAATAAAAAATATATTTGAGTTGGAGCTGTTCTTAATAACAATTATTAATGTATTTTTTTCTACTAAAACCATTAGATTTATTATATTGTATTATTAATCATATTATATCATTAATAAAATATAACTATGTAGGTAACATAAATGAATAAATAAAAAAAAAGTTAAGCGCATTAAAAAAATTTTTTTTGGTCTTTGAAAATGAACCATTCTCAAGTTCAAATCTTATATGTGTTATTTACTTACAAATTATTTGATAAAAATATTTAAGGTTCGCTTTTCCTCATAAAGTTGACCTGAAGACGCCCCTGTCCATACCCCTTCATAATTGAGCCATTGCTTGATTTTTTACATATTTTTGTGATAAATTCATGTTTTTCTTCATTTACTATTAAAAGAATTTGATACGTGATTTGATTATTTATATTTTATTAGTATTTTCTTTTTTATATATCTTTAAAATTGATTTTCATTCAATTTTTAACTCATCATAAAAACATCATTGGTAGAACTAAATATGTATTTAGTAAGTTAGTCATAAAGTGAAAAAGTTATCGCCCGTTCAATCTTGGCATTAGGTATTGTTATTCTAAATTTGAGCTGGTTTTAAAATGTTCGTGAATAAAATATTTACTAAAAAAATGTTAGCTTTTACTAGTTTTAACATGTAAATTTTACTTAAGACGTTAACATAAAATTTTTTAGTAACATACTTGATTTTCGAATTTGAAACTTAATATTTTTATTATCAAAATCATAAAAATATTCAAATTAATTGTAATAAATTAAGTATATTGATGTTCGAAATTTTTTATAAAGAATTTTACTAAAATAATTGATAATTAAAAAAAAAAAACTATTGTTAGAATGATTCATTATACACGAATTTTTTCATTATTTGATAAAATTAATAAGTTAAAATTTTCTCTATAGGTGGACACATGAGAGCTTAAGTTGTTTAACTTCTTAAAAAATTTAAGAAAAATATTGTAGGTAAATATTTTAAAAATTATCTCATTCCTCATTTTTCATTTAAATGAATATTTTTTGTTTTTTGATTCTAACATACTATGCTTATGTAAGTATACAGTCACCGAATCAGAAAATATAAGCAACATTTATTATTATAATATAATAATATTATTATATATTTAATATTATTAATATATAATACAATATTATTTTAAAAATGATGAAATTTTGCATCGATTTTCTAGATAACAGTTGAGCAACTTAGACACCATACTTCTTTTATTAAAAATTAATAAGATTAAATTTTGTACCAGGAATTTATGAGGTATCATGCTTCGATTTAACATAATTATTATTTTAGATTGATATCGGTATTTTAATATAAATATCAAAATCTAGTACCAGGAGTTCATAAAGGCTAATGTATGCACCATTTTGAGACACCAGACATATTATGCCTCGAATTGGTGCCCCACGTTTTGTCAACAATTTTCAAGGGTTCCCCAACAATATTAAATGAGATGATATAAATGACGATGTTACCGATCAATGATACTCATGAATTCCTGGTACAGTAATTTTAATATTTACCTCAAACTTAACTTCTA